AAAAGAGGATGCCGCAGGCGCAACTCGTAGTCCAAGATGTCATAAGAAGGTGAGATGGTAAATAGCATAATGGTTAACTAAAATCACGGGCGTACGCAGAGAGCTTGAGGAGGAAATGAGAGGGGAGGACGGGGCCACAGGAGCCCACGTGCGTGAGCGGATCACGGCGAATGCGGAGATCCGTCTCGTCCTGCACGTCCTGGCGTCAACGCCGAAGATGGCGCGTCACCACCATGTAGCTATACATCTTGCGTAAACTACATCTGCTGCCTGTAAGCGCGCCTCTCATGCTTGCTGCTGTACGACTCGTCAAGTCTTGCATCGCAGGAAATATCGATCCATCTTTGCTCAGTGCAGCCATCAATCAAGTGGTGCATCGATAGCTAGGTACAGTATTCTCGACGACTGTCACTGTCATCCGAGTATATGAAAGAGGTATATCTACTTTGATGGCAGTGCGGCTTCTAACTTTGACGGCTCTAGTACGGCTTGTACTGTCTGGCACGCGGACCAGTGCACTTCAATCGATCTTCCCCGCCGCCGCTTTTAATCGAGAGGTATGTCTCTTGTCATGCACGGGTATCATTGGTGACTTGCACGAACGTCAAGGTATGCACATTAACTGTTCGTGCTCATGTGATGTATTAGGTGCCGTCTCTAATTCTTTCAGTACGATTTCAACACTGCAGTGTGTCGAAAGGCGCCTCCAGACGGTTCTCCCGCAAATGTGTCCATCAACCGGTAGGCGCATGTTCCCCTGCGTACCTTGACTCTCATAGTTTATACCATCGCATACATATGCATGTCATGCATGCTCTCTTCAACGCAGGTAGCAGCGCCGCCTGTGCCTCCTTCAGTACAGCTCACCTAGTTTACTGTTCAGGTGAGTGTTATTAGACCTCCCCTGCCGCAACCTTCAAAGAAGAGGCGCGTCTCTTATGGGAAACAGCATTCTTCATGGGGCACACAGGTATCTAGATATACATATGAGCTTTACGTTTCCGAATAATGGTAACAGCGCCGGCAGTACTTATGCCAATACGACTTGCACAATCCGGCATCACTAGAAGTGCCATGTGATCTTCACCCGGGGTGGAGATCAATCGAGAGGCGCGTCATTTGCTGAGTACGATACGTTTAATGCATGTCACTACTGCTCAGCTTTATCTCCAATGTATGCTCATCTCGGTGGTGGCAGCAGCGCCGGTCACCGTTCATCCAGTATGGCTCGCACAGGTTGCTATCTAGGTCAGTGCCATTCCACTGGGAGGCGGGCCATGTTTTGAGTGAATTATCCATGAAGGAGTATAGTTTCGTTTCCGTGTATATAGTCAGCCATACCTCGCTTTGAAATGATACTAGCGCCGGTGTCACTTGTCTCGATATAGCTCGCACTATTCGACATCCCGGGACGTGCCCGAGCCATCTGACATTCCTCCAGTGTGGCCATCAATCAAGAGGCGCGTGCTAGAACAAGTACTACATACTTGAGGAGTATTCTTACCATCTTGAGGCAGCTCTGAGGTATACTGGTTATGCTATTGAGAGCTGCACCGGGCATATTGCATTCATTACGAGGCGCTTCGTTCGGCATCCGGATCAGTGCCGCTTGACCTTTCCCCAACGTAAGCTTGAATTGAGAAGCATATCTTTGCGTGAGTACCGTAGTCCTTCTCTGTCTTTGTTGTTCTGTTTAGCCTTTTCTTTGCCCAAGCTGACACAGAGATGGTGCCCCGTCAGGATACATCTAGCCACGCTTTCCCTTCGGGAGCCGATTGGCAGCCTCCAATAATACAATGCGATTGAATAGAGTGATCTGCTACAGGGCCATGTTGTGCTACGAGTGCTGCGCTGAGACATATATGTAGATTTTCCCAGAGAAGTACAAGCTAGCTGGTTCATAACAGTGGTCGTGATAAAAAGCACGCGTAAATGGCAGGGTACGGTACTTGGGTGTCTAGAAATGGAACAAGTAATCCTGGCGCTCAGTACCTTTCAGTCGGTCCTGATGAACCCCGATGGTCTCGCCTACCTGCTCAGACATATACGCTTGAGAACCTGGCCCTACTGTAAGGTCTTCAATCATCGTCCGCTCAGAAAGAACCAGGTTTCTAAGCATGGTCACCGACGGTGGGAATTCTTCCTCGTCGTCCAAATCCTCCTCATTAGACCAATCTATTTCCATCATCACCAGTCTCTTCACGGTCCCCAAGACGCGTGGCGCCCGACCAGTTGCAAGCAAGGCATCGGCATTGAAGCCCTTGAGCAGGAGACCCCGCCCTGTGAGCCTATCAGCGCGTAGCCATTCAAGCCTCCCGGCCTCACGAACCAGAGACCCCCAGGCTGCATGTGATGTTTCCGGCAATTTCAATGCTCTCTCACGGAAGGAAATGCATTCAACACCAGTCTTCACAACTACTGGCCACTCGCAGCCATTGCAACGGACCGCCCAGAGGCGAGATGAGCAAGCACGCATGCCTGATCTGCCGCCGAGGCTCTCCTGTCTCCAGTGACTGCGCGGTTTGCTTCAAACCATCATCCCCCGATTCATGGCTGAGAACCTCGCAAACATGATCGTCGCGAGTATGCCCGCGGTGAAAGCGAGGAGTAAGTGCGGGACTGATAGCCGCGCGCGCCCTTCTGCGTCGAGGCAGTCTGTGCGAATCTATAGGTTGCCTTTTACGTCCTTGACGGCCGCGTCCGGAACAACGTCCATCATAGGTGCCGTATGCAAGCTGGGAAGACTATCCACGCCACGAACGCTGGTATCGTTCCAGTACTTCTTCGGTGCCGCGCCCTCGTTCATCTCCATCTTGACGCCAAAGTTAGTCAGGGTGTCCCGCGGGCCGACATATTGGTAGAATGGGACAACCCATCCGCAAGACTGCAAGACTGCATCACTACGGAGACTTGAGTTTGGAGTGTCAGACGTACCGTGTCCTGTAACGCTAACACCCCAAGGGTCCTCCGTCGCTTGGATACGATCACTGCAGGTGGACGAGGCTCGGGGAAGGACTGTGGGGCAACGCTCAAAATATGGAGTCCACCCGAGCTCTTCTCGGGGGTGGACTCCAAATCTGGAAACCAGATGGCGCGAGTTAGGGGCATATGCCGGCGCACCCATACGGCCCGCAGCTATAATCGTTTACTACACTATACCCTCCTCGCACGTTTTACACTCTCTTCATCTCCATCTTTACTGCCTGCCTGCCACAATTCTGACAGTTCCCTGCTGTATTCCCCCGTACTGCGCCCGCCGTGTTCGCTGCGTTGACCCTGGCCCGCATGCACAACACGCCCCTGGGACCAGTCTGAGCATATTGTCCCTTACGCTGTGGCGAGCTCTCGTTCTCCAGGCCGCGTCGCACGCTTCGACACCTTGGACCGGGTAGTATTCTGCTGTTTGCAAGGATGTGGACCCCTGTCATGATGCTCCTACGGCGGTCTCCATGTGCACCGCCAGCGTCGGTCACTGCGGCGACTACAGCACCACCACGAGGAATGTGAAGACCGCGTGTAGTCCCAAGCCTTTGCACCCAAACACGGAACACATCAACGGTTGCTGGCACCTCTTCACTCCTCGCGGCGCATGAAGTTCAACTCAATGGCCCATTGGGCGCTCCAGCTGTTTGCAATGGTCATCCTGGCGGCTGATCAGTATCCGGCCGACCCGTCACCTAGCACCAGTATCGTTTCTATGCGGCCTGATATAGATTACTAGGTCTATTCAAGTGGTCCCAACGGGACAAGGTATGAATCTACACATGAAGTCATGAGAGGTGCTGCCAGTGCAAACACATCCAACCTCTGAGGTATACAAGTCTGGACGTCCATGTATGCTTCATGGACACACTGCCTACCTACATTCTGACGACTGACCTGCAGGTTCTGTCCATGCAAGAGAATACTCTGCTGCGCTATCTCAGATATGGTCCCTCCGGTACAAAGTGCAGTCACTGTCACATGCCGGATGCACTGTCGTTGACGTTCTGAATGGCCTCAACAGCGGCGGTCACAGACTCCTACGCCAACCATACGTCAGCCTCACCACAAGTTACTCGATTCAATCGCTTCTAACCCAGTCCTTCCGCATTGCGACGGAAACGGAGGCGTCCTCAAGCCCCATATACACTTCCACAGACTTAACGGCAATGGTAAGCACGCACGGCTTAACTTTATCTATATGTTCACCGCCTCTACATTGCGTGACATGGTGGGTCTCTCTGCGATGGGCATCAAAATATGTCCTCGTCAGACCGTATACTCCGAGTCGGCCGCGCCCTCTATACTAACACATAATCATAGCTTCCTTGAGCGATCTTTGTCGTGGGCACAAATCAGTCTAACGCACCGCGTCTATTGACGTATTACGCGCCAATTATCTATCTAATCACCCCATCATGGCCCTCTGGCAATCTAAGCACGACTGATGGAAGTATCTATTGGATGGGCCGATCCGGACCCTTCATGCCCTCTGTTCCCCTTGTAGGACTCTCCCCTTCTATCTTATGGCTTTAAGCAGCTGTGCGCACGGCTTACGCTCGAATGTTTTCCATATCTTACATCTCTACTCAGTCAAGTCCGCACCCTCACCTACGTACGTTCCTGTGGTGTCCGTTGTCCTGAACTGGGAGCACCCTTCAGTCACATTGCTCAGCATACGATGCATGCACAACGCAAACTAGCTCTATAAGCATCCCAAAACAAACCGTCATGATATAAGCCATTCTTCTGATGGAACCTAGTGCCTGAATTCGCACCCAGGACTCAAACCTGGGCACAGGTTGCACAGAACTCTCAAGATCCATGACGCAAGGTTGCAGAATCATCTACATCAGTAGGGATGGTGGTTCACTGAGGTATAAGCAGTCATTCCCATTACACAGTGGCAAACGTTACATGTAGAACCAATCAAATCAAGGGCCAAGTACGATATACATAAGAAAATAGAAAGCATTATCACGCAACGTGCAGTCACGGCTGATCACCATGGCCTCTGCTCACTTTTTACTCGGAGCGTGAAGGACCTTGTAGACGCGCAAGCCATTCTCTCGGCGAATATGGAAGCTGTAGGTACTGGACATACCCCACAGCGACCTGAATTCCTGCTCGGTACACGCGGCTTCCCAAAAGTCAGATGGAATGTAAGCACGGCCATAAAGTAAAGAGTGTGCTTACCGACAATGTTTCCGACTGGAATGACAGCCTGTTCGTTGGTCGCGAAGAGCATTTTTTCCTTGTTGGTATTTTTGGGTAGGCCGTTGATGACTTTCAGAAGGCTGTATGCAAGTTTCAGTCCAAGCGACACATCATCGGTTTGAGCAAGAATGACATACACATCCGGTTCATGAACCATACCCTTCTTAATGGCAGCTTTGGTCCACTTCAGGGACTCCCAATAGAGCCCGACTATTGTGCCGTCCTCCTTGATTGCGGTAACAGAAATGCACCAAAACTTGTCAGCGAAACCCTCCTCTTCGTCATCCGCCCTAGTGACGACGATCGAGCCTGGAACGATCGTGCGAGGTTTGTTCTCGGGCGCATTGGCTATGACCCAGGGAACATAGCACCTGTCAAGGGAAGTATGGGCTCCCCTGCAAAAGGTACTCAATGTCACAATCGTATCAATGTAATGTAAGTTGGGTTCACTTACATGAACCCCTTGATTGCAGGGTGAGACTTCATGCACTTGACCTTGATGCGTCCGGTCGACATGTTAACATTTTGCACGTATGACTGTTGGGCATCCTTGACAAGTTCCAGCTGTCCATCTTCGTCTTGATGCAACACCCCCGAATCGATGCTGGGAGCTGGTGAAGGCGCGCGTCGTTGCCTGGGCGGTGCAGCGCCGCCCCCGATCCCAGTACCAAAATTTTCTCGTCCGTGCGGTTTACGTCGTTCGTTTCGAATAGCGGGCATGGCTGGGTGAGATTGACGCGAGTTGGTTTGCGATGGTGGTGGTAAGGACGCGAGACGCGGAGCGTGCGCGCTGCTCGATCAAGTGATATAAGATCAGACTCCGGGCCGTCACTCCGCGTAAAGCACAACCACAGGGTCAACCACAGCTCAGAGTGAAGTCGTAGAGGTCTTCTGAGCTTTTGAACACAGTTGTCATTTGTTGCCATTCATGTGCTCGTATTTAAAGAATAACTCACATGTACCCGGGATTATGTCATTGGGCTGGGTTGCTTGAATGACATAGTGTGTACTGTACGAGTATGCGTTCATAGAAATAAGAGAATAAGAGGCAGGAGGAGAAAATGTTGCATGTAGTACCGCATGCTGCATGTAGTACAGTATGCTGCATGCAGTACCGTATGCTGCATGTAGTACCGTAACTCCCATCTTACCACCACCGAGGCAGGCTTCGCGCCTCCGGTCTGCTATCCCAAAACGTCCGCCCCTCACCACTGTTTGACCCTACACTGTATGATTGTCAAGAGCTACAACACAGTATGGGGTATAGATATACAGTAGGCACACACACAGAAGGTCTGCTACTGTTCTAGTTACGGCTATGGCAACTGTAGTGAGCTTTTGATGTCAGTGGCTCGGGAACTAGATATAGCTGGACTCATACCACCAGAACCGTGTCGTACCATAGAAGCTTCAGAGCAATCTGAATCTATGTCAACTAGCCTTAGGTATGCTATGCTCAGTCACGCAAACCGCACATGTAAAGACAGTATACCTTGTGTGTACCATCTAAAGAAGGAATCCAGGGCATGGTAGTACTAAGAGTCGCTCTATATATCTTCCACAGTCGAGAGCTATGCGTTCACTACTCACATTTATCACTTGCGCGAGGACTCGCAAACTGAGAACGCTCACTTGCAGACGTCTATTCAGGTTTGAACCGATGGGTCTGGCTACGACGGCTGTCCGGGTGCGGCAACGCTACTGGTCCATAATGATGGAGTCGACAGTTTGCGCCACGTTCTACGGTAGAGGCTCGGACCGCTTATGAAGTACATGGTCCACGAGGCAGAAGCAGTAGGTATGTTACAGTCCACGCACCCACTCCGGTCAGGGGACCGCGAGTTCACCTCGGAGCCGAGTAGCATCAGTCTCGACTACCAGGCCATCATACGAGCCACCGAATACGCTCAGTGGGCCCAACCCGGGTAGTGCCTGCTGGACAACCTCCGCAGGGCCGCTACATATGCTGACAGGAGCTGCGATAGCCATCTTTACACCCTCCGTCACCAACGATGAGCGCCCGATGTCACCGTGGAGGCGCACATACGCACTACGGCAGATCTGACCCGGCGGATGAGCTCAACACTCCTATAACAGCGCTCGGACCACGTCCCGCTAAACGCACACCACTACCGCATCGGGTGCGTCTACAGCCCTGCTTGCAATGCATGCAAAGGCACGATCAACACGGTGCCGCACTACCTGTAAGAGTGCCCGATGCACAAGTACTTTTTGCGCACTACGCACCGGTGCTGGGAAACGTTGGCGCAAAAGCGCGTACCTACTCGACAATCCACAGGGTTTCAAGGCGGTGCTTGCATATGTGCGGGCAACGGATACATGAATGCAGGAAGCACGCAAAGAGAAAAGAGCGCGCTCCAAAGACGCCACGGGCAAAGCCCTGAAAAACGAACGCGAACAAATGGCTCAAGAAGACGTGGAGGATAGTAAAGGGAACACGATGGATCTGAAAACCGATAAAGAGTACTCAAGGCTGTGTGGATGAGGTTGATGAGGGTATCAGGCTAGCGGCCGTGAGGAGACGGGGCGCGGGTACTCGGAGATCATGAGCGGGAAGAGGGAGAAGGCGGGAAGGCTTGCGAACGCTGGAGAGAGCGTGACGCGGGAACACGGTGCAAATGAGAGGGAAGAGGAAGAGAAGGATAGATGTCCAGTGACAGTGGAGAAACGGGGCGCAGGCACGCGGTGATACCATGTGGAAAGAGGGAGACTGGGGAGACGAACCGGGGCGATAGCAGGACGCCGCGACATGGACTGCGAAATGATGCCACATAAGACCATTGGGAGACATCGTAAGGAGGTTCATCTTGCACATAAGCATCCAAATGGCCGCTTGGTTGTCGAAAAGTCGAATGAGTTGAGGGGAACACCAGTACCAGGACGAAAGTATAGTTGCGACGTGCGTTCAGGTTCGAGTTGACCGCTAACCTTACTTATGTCAATTTCACGCTCCTATCCCCTCACGAGCGCTCTCCTTAGACATCATCAGCATCGTCATCATCGTCATCGTCATCGAGCCCCATTCACAGGCTGCGTGTCTCGAACACTACATTTGGCTTACACACATACCATTTCCCAAACGTAACTGTACCCTCAAGGATCAGTCTACGGGCCGCAAGACGGCACACAGTCACCGTCCCCTCACCTCTGACCAGAACTAGACAGTCTCGCACCATACCTCTCACGCACACCGCCAGTAAATCCTGTCGCCACATAATCCCATGAAATTTCGACTCTTTCCGCGACAGCATGTCGGACATCGTCAACTACCCATTCAGCAACAGCAAGGACATGGTTTCGAAGAGCCACTTGGATACATAACTGAAGAATAGAGATCACAAGCCTACATACAAGCAAGCGCTCACTGTCAATTTGTAGCATAGCAAGCGCAATGACATCATGCACGTTGGTGACCCGTAAGATACATACGAAACCGGAACGCACAATGTCCGAAGACCGCGCCGCGACGCGTAAACCCTAACCTTGAGCTTGATCGCTCATTTCTTCGTTGTTTGACTCCTCATCTGACAAGATCAGATAGTAGCCTGACCCTCTACTCAGCAGAATACGGCTGAGAGTGCCAAACGTACTTCTTGGTATGATCAGGCAACATCTCCTCGCTGAACACCATGCGCGCGCGCAAGCGCCGAAAGTGCGGGGGCATTGAAAGATGCGGCGCATAAAGCGATATGCCACCAGGGCTGAAATTCGCGGCGACGTCGACAAGGTGATCGATATGGAGCGCTATGTCCCGGTAGGTGCTTGTCAGAGCGGATATGATGAAAGTGAGGCCAGTGTTGGTCGGGCTGGTGGAGTAGTGCACGCGTATGGATGGCCAGTTGTCGTGGTCGGCGTTGGACTTGGGGTCCACATGGGCAGCATCAATGACGCAAAAAGTGGCAGGGGGAAGACCTCCTTTGCCAAAAAACTGTGAGATATTGTCGGTGGAGAGCAAGTGACCTTCCATTGCACAAAGCCCATGGATGACAATCGTCGCGTCGGGCCTGAACATCATATGTTTGGAAAAGTCGTGAACAAGGGAGAAGTTGTACCCCTTCTCGCTAAAGTCGCCGAAGTGTACACGAGTGAGGCGCAAGAAGTGAATGCGTGCAGGAAGGGTCGCAAACGCGGGATCACGGGCATGCGCACGGACTTCTCCCGGGAGCTCAACGTGGAGGTAGAGTGTCTCGAGGGTCTGATGTGAAAGAAAGAGCACGTCTAGCAACTCGTCCCGAGTGACTGTCCAAGACGGCGAGTGTTTTCCGAGCGTGGTCTGCGCGATGGAAAGGTGGGTAATGTTGTTGACGCGGGCGACGAAATTGGTGAACGAAACTTTGATGGGTCGAGCAGAGATGACGAAGTTGGGAATCGGGAAAGGAATAATAGCGGGAGGAGGACCAACGCGTCCACGGCCTTGCTCTGAAAGAGCAGCGTAGATATCGAGGGACTTCAAGGCAGTCATCTGCGCGAGAAGGGGTGCGAGTGCGGGATTCGGGTCGGTGTTGACCCTGACATCGATGAAAGTGAGCGACCGGATGCGTGTCAGGGGAATGGTACCGTCCGTGAGCATGCGCATCACACGCCTGCCACCATAACGCCAAGGTGCAAGATCAACAAACACATCCAGGGGCCGCAGATCACTGAGTGCCAGCATCTCAGCAGTAGCGTTCGGCAATCGCCCGATGGATGCGGCCCAGAACTCTCCACCCTCTGTGCGCAGGGCATTCCTGATGCTCCTCGACATATGCGTCAGTTTAACCCAACCCAAATTTCCTCGGACGTTGTGATACGTCCTGGGCTCGGGGATGCGAGGAGCGGCCGCGAACGGCGCGTACGCGTTGGGATCTTCGTTGTACCGCAGCCAGTCATAGTTGAAGGGCCCGACCGCCTTCATCAACTTTGGCAGAGGAGGCGGCATGGAAGGAATATGCTCGCGAGCAATGTTGATGATGACCTCCGGAGGTACAGGCGTCTTGCCTGGAGGTGGATTGACCTCTACTGAGAAGCTTTGGCCCATAGCTTGGAAAAAAGGGTAGACAGCAAGAAGAGCGATCGGATGCGTCTTTTCTGGCGTCCACAACTCGGTTTATACGGCATCTCGTGCGTCTCGCGGCTCACACAAACGTGGTTCTCTGAGAAGAGAGAATGTACTATGGATCAAAGAAGACAAAGAGAAGCGGGCTGGGAGGAAGAAAGAAGAGACCGCGTGTGCGCACATGACAAGACGTTTTCCCTGAATTGAAAGACAGCCTCCCCTGCACAGCAAGTTGGGCCGCCCGGCGTGTTGGATCGGAATAGCGCGCGCGAGGAATGCGCGATAAGGTGAGTGATGCCGAGATTTTGCGGGGCTTGCGCTCACTTCAGGCCACCATCATCTTCCGCGCACTTCCCGTTTATTTTGGCTCGATGCTGTCATTTAAATACGGACACGGAAAGGGAATATATTGCTCAGTGTCGCGCTCACATGCCCACTTCACACTTGATAAGTAGCCCCGCAACCAGCACACTCGCGTGCCCCCTCTCCCTACATCCATGACATCTATCGGCCCAGAAAACAGCCAGCCAATTGAGCACTCAGGAGGTTCGGGTAGTAAACCGGACAAGGCTTGAGAGAGGTGCCCGTGTCCCGTCTGTGAACCCGCGCAACTATTGGGCACACCATGCAATGGCGAGCGATCGAAGGATACTGACCGTCGGGGGCCAGCGACACAATTAGCCGTGAAGCATGAGCTACTTCATAAGTCTTAACAATCATTTCGATTTGCCTCGGGGCCATCCTCACCTGAGAATGTGCTGATGGTAGCTGTAGACGGACGGGTATCTCTATTGCCCCGTCTGTCCACCCCCAACAACGATACTGCAGAGCTTTCAGATGCCATGTCTCGCATTGTAAGTTCATGCCTATGAGCAATAATATATGATGCCACCCCTCAATTAGGCTCCAATGCTGAAGCATATCGCGGTTTCGAGCGTTTTGAAATCACGCATGTTTAACGCATAGGGGTGTGAAGATGTTCTATCGAGGTCGGCTTCTTAAGATAAGTTTACGTGCAGGTTACGGCTGTGGACGCGCAATTGATAGGTTCAGATCTTCGGTGCGACTCGGTGCGACGACAGCATTATCTCTAGTAGTAATACAAATGAAAAACCAGCAACGATCATCGATGATTCGAGGGAGATGAGTTAGAAAAGATGTGTTCAGTGTGCCTTATCCGGGCATTCGATCTGTTCCAAAATACCTCCTTAGATCAACGAATGCAATTGAGAGATATAGGTGAGAAGGTACGCCGGTCATGCAGAAACTGAAACTGTAGCATTCCTGTAAACAAAATCAAGGCCTTGCGAGTGTTGAGATTGAGACTTACGAGTCCCTTAGCTTGATCGAGAAGACTACGATAGAATGCTCCTTCTATCGCTGTAGAAACAAACGTCCGAATGCTTGACATGAAAATACTCAGCAGCACTAAGCACTACAGTGACGGAGAATCTCAAAACTCGTCGAATGAACCTTCTCTGACATTCCCAACTCATGCAAGTTGTGCGGCTGAGTGAAGTCTGGCGGCTCGTTTTGACTAGATCTCGTCTTTGTTCGGCTATCTTATGTCTCGCTCCGCGTCGATTACTGTCAGACGGTATTCGTCTCATTCATGTCAGCCCGGGCTGCCGCTAGCCTGTCATATATGGTGTAAACCTCAGCAGTCATCAACGGCCCAAGCCTATCGACGGTGCATGTTAGGGTCGCGAACCAGATGCGACCGACGGTCTGAGGGACATGTGAGGCAATATCTGATCTGAGAAGACCGAAAATGGAAGGACACTCGCTGCGAGCTCATCGCGCTCATCTCTTTCCCGATATAGACTCCGTACATTCACTTGAAATCCGGATCAACCCCAGTTACCGAAGTCACGCGATCGTCCGAAGGTGCGCGTGAGATCGCATCTCTGCACGCACGCCTTTTATCCAGAACTCCATCGTCCGCCTTACAAACGGTACGATATCCTCTCCAACAGCCAGACATAGAGATCTGATGAGACGATCACTGGCAGCGTTAGAGCCCACTTCCGTCGATACTCTGCTCACAGCCTCAAACGGCCTAAATTATGGACTCGCCTGATCAGAATCCCTCAACCCTTACTGGTCAGATTTTCGCCCGTATCCATGCCTCCGACGCGAACAGGGTTGATGACGAGTTGATGTGCGATCTTGCTGCGTCCATCATTGCCACCCTGGTGGGGCTTCGCCGTAGTCCTAGACATCACCCTCTCGGTCCTGAGCTCGAAAGATCTGTGCACGATTACGCCGCGGCTGTGTACGATCAAAAGCCAGTAAAGCAAGTCGAGAATGTCCTGATTCTCTGTCGTCTTTTGAGTCGCCGTCACGTATCGAAATGGGGCGACTACAGAGATGTTGAGGATCTGAAGAGGAAGGATGGTGTCTCCGTCCTTAAACCTGTAACCTTTCAGGCTGACGAAGAAATACAGATGGAGGCGGTCAGGAAGCAAGACATACCTGAATTGTATTATGTATATCAAGGAGCGGTGAATGCTCTGGCGGCGAAACAATTTGAAGTGGTCGAGGCACGGAACAGTACGACACGCTGCGTGGAAGAGACCCTCAGGGTCTGTAATCAGCACTTAGCCCAGATGCATCACGAGGTGTGTCGAGTTGTGGGCAAAAGAAGAAACAGGTTTCAACCGATAACACAACAGAATGCGGCTATAAAAGAAGAGCGCGATCGCATGGCATCAAGGCTTCAGAAGATAGCAGACATAGTGAGTAGCAGACACGCTCTATACCACATCTCTAACTGCATTTTTAGATGTCCACCGAGGAGTAAGACTGTGCCTCCTATGGGCTGTTGTGCGAATTGCTTTGACTGCGTTGAAAGCTCACTCCATGCTGAGACGGAATTCCACTTTTTTCTGTCAGCCTTCCATATGCGCTCTGTTTCCCTCATGTACAGCACGTCAATGACCAATACCTTTGTCACTTCGCTATCTGTCCATTGTGTTGAACACGCCACTCGCTCTCCGAGCCGTCACAGCTAATGGAGAGCAACCGCTGCTCTCGCCCCGGATGTGATACAGTCATGGTCACTGTGAAGCGCTATCCGTTGAAGGTTCTCGCGTACTACCCTCCGAAAACGGCTTTGTGCCTGTTCTTCCTCCGACCTGGGAAGTGGGAGGAGAGTCAGATCTGGAGAGGTGCCGACGATCATGGGGTCTCAGAGCCGGTCACGTACAAGCAGCGGAAGACGTCGCAAGGCAAGATGGACCCTCAGTCTGACATAAAAGACGAATTGTTTTGGAGGCGCAAATGGCAAGTGTGTATGGGACGCTGAGAGTAGCGTGGTTGAAGATATCGATGTTGATTATACTGAGGGAGATGATCACCTTCGTCTCTCTTCCATGTGGCGTTGTGTTCGGTATATTCATCGACTGGTAAGCCTCAGGGTGCTCTCAACAGTGTTCTCCTAGTGAAGATCGCTCAGATTGTAAGTCAGAGAACGTAGTAATCTGCAGCTTCTGCAGCCAAGTTCATCTTGAGCATCCAGAACCTATTGCGCTCATCGCGCTACTTGCGCAAGAACCTCTTTCTGATCATGACCGTCCCAGGAGCGAAGGAGCCTGATACAGAGGGGCTAGACAAGTTGCTCGATATATCGATAGATGACACACTCGAGCTTTGACTACGTACGCCATTCTATGCAGAGTGCACACATTAAGCTTACATCTGACGATAGATTTCAAGCCACCTTTCACCGGTTGCACGTCACCCAGATCCCGAGACTATACACTCCAGCATTCCCTTCGCTGCCTCCGATACACCTGTACGTATCGAGGCATCGGAAGTATTATCCCAGAACACATACGAGCAACTCTGCTACGTATGTAAGAGGCGCTTTCCGGACATCACACAATCTCCGCTGCTTTGATTACGACCGTGAGTTAAGCACATCTCTCAATCTGGCGTTGTACGCGGCTGACGATGATTGTCGACCAGAATCTCACTATCATGACTTCAATGCTATGCTGGTAGTAAAGTGTCGTGCGCGTGATGCGGCCATTAATGGCGAAATCGAGACTGTGACACAGATACTAAAAGATCATGGAGTACAGTTCTCCATCTTCGGCCGCTCGTTAAGCTGGAGCAGTCCCGCTAGCATCCCGCTTGAACCGATGCATAATCTCAGTGATTGGCGCCATTCAGACAGTAGCCGCCAGAGTGCTTCAGCTAACGTCAGTCAACAGGCATAATAGCCGACATGCATAAGATTATCTTCATTGCAGGAGGCATGTTCGCCGGATCTGTCAAATGCGGGAAGCCCATTCCTATTGCCCGTTTGGAAGACTGGCCGGAGAAGTTCTGCATTCCGGGCTCTACGAGACGCTTCAGTTCAAGTGTTTGTCTTTCATCAACGATGGTTTTAGTGCTAGGCTCTCTCATCGAATGCTGTAGATAGCGACAGGTGCAGGCCGCGCCAAAGCAGATAACTGCTAAACTCCACAGTCATTCCCGTCGCTCTTGCATTTGGTTATGGTATGTACGATCGCGACGAGGATGTGAATGCCGGCAGAATATGCAAAAAGCTCAAAGATAACGGTGGAGCGCGAACATACTGAGATTCTTCTGCACGAGCGCCGCATCAAGGCACGCATTCGCACTCGCGATGCTGGCGGCAGACGTTGTCGAACAACATCTTGCCGCCCTTGGATACATCACTGCGAGCCGCAATTACTGGTGCCATTATCGTAAAGTTCTGCGGCTCTGCAGCTTTCTGCATATGCTGTGTTTGCAGACAACCATTCTGGACGAGTCCCTTTCGGCTCAGATATACATGTCGCAGGCATTTCAATCATGGGCGAACATGACCTGCCATCTTAAGCCTAGCTTCCACATTGCTTGTCATGGGTTCGAATGGATGGAAGCCTTTGGGAAATTGTACGCTTTCTTGACTCGGGCTTATAAGCGGTGTATAGGGAGCCTGTCAAAGCTCAAAACAGATAACCATGGTAGAGGCAAGATGGAGTGCACGTAAATGCATGTGTGGTGGATGAATTTACTGTCTCAAGACCCTGTGCGTCGAACACTCTGAATCGGCACTGTGATGACTGACTGATTGCTGTCTAGATAAGACATTTACAGGATATACCAAAAGGTGAGAAGTCACCGGGCAATAATGCTGCAACTAACGTGCTTCTTACCATGCACGGCAATGCAGAGCCCAAGGGGCAACGTGGTACACTCGTCAATAGCCTGACATCGGTCTCGCATCTTGATAAGCCGGGTACTTCACATGATACCAGATGATCCACGGGAGTTACTCCCACATATATGTAGAGCGCATCGTGCCACCCACTCGCAGGGCTGCCACGGATATCAGAAATACAGGAATTTATCGGCCACTTTTGCAACACCTGCAGCAGCTGTGGCCGGAGGAGCAAATTGCGCGCGATCAAAATGCCAGCACTGGGCGATCTTTCTTTGAACAACGTATAACTGGATACGCAACAGTCAAGGCTCATGGGGTACAGTATAGCGCTCCCCACACGAGTATGGAAAGCGACACTGCTATGGGTACCTCGAGCATTGCCAGGCAATCAGCATCAACTATATTCTGCATGTTGCCTTGTTCGATGAGCTGGTGACGGACCTCGCTGTCGTACACGATCATCAATGCTCGATATGTATGCAGGATCCAGAGCGGCTTTGATGATATCTGCGTTTGACAAGAGATACAAGCTTATGATCAACTGGATGTGGCAGTAACTGCGAGGATATCAATGCTTTGATCACGCTGCTCCGTTTTGTTAGGTCCGATCGGTGCCACATTTCGCACGTGGTAGGCATCTATCAAATGCTGGAGAGGGGCCGGGCGACTAGGGCAAGCAGATAGAAGGCTCTATGCACGCCTCGGTGGTGGTCCGATGGCAACTATGCTACCACATGAGGTGTGCTACGATCTGAACACTGCTGACTAGGCCTGCGAACCCCGCGCTCTCTCTGCCTCCCGACGTCCAGCCTCCAGACCCGTGATACCCTACTCCATGTACCCCCCACCAAACATGGCGGCGTCCTCGCCGCCCGAGAAACCACGGGTAAAACAGAGAAAAATGGTGTCAAGAGGCCCGAGCCCAGCCCAATGACATGAGCACTCGACCCAAGTCAGCAAGGCGGGGGTCACCGTCCCAATCGAGTAGCGCCGATACGTCTTGGATGGAGCTATATATGCGTGATGAGTCGTGTGAGTGCGTGCAAGGCCGTCAAAAGTAAATTGGTGTGAATGGTCGAGCGTTATCATGGTGAATTCGGCGCAAAGACTCTCGCCGTGAGCGTCCAGATGCCATGCGACGATCTTGAGATGAAGGAAAGATTGTATCCCTAAACCGACAATGAGCACGACGATTGCGCTTCTGAAGCGAGCCGAAAGGTTTTGAGCCGTTTGATGGACGAAGCGACGAGAGATCGCGTGGTGCGGTAGCAAGTGGGATGATCGGCGGGGGCTGAGACGATAGTACCGTGTCGACATCTTCAGCCCAATTGAATTGCAATTGAGACTGAGGTGCGGGCGGTGGTATGGTGCTTGACAAAGGCGGAAGTGGAAGCGGCTCCGTCTGAGTGGCGATCTCGCATTTGCGACGCATGCGCTCGCGCCGCATATCGTCCTGAACTTCGTCGCGAACTTCGCGACGCATCTGTGTCGCGCCCTCCTTGCGACCCTCAACCTTCCCAAGATCCAGACGAACGAGGTAACCTTCATGCCAGCTTTTCTCGTGCTTCTCCTTATCCAGCTCCTTGTAAAGTACGCCCAGGTCGAAGTACAACTCGATGAGCAAAGTGGGGTCGATGCGGCTCACGAACTTGTCGAACGGATGGGGCAGCATTGAAACCGCGCTCGTTGTGTTCGAGGGTATGTTGACCGATGCCGGTGACGCAAAAGTGCTGTGCTTGGGTGGATCCACACTGGTATATGGCAGCGCGACGTTTGCTTCGGCAGCGGCGGCGGCGGCGGCACGTCGCTTCTTCTTCTCGGCTCCGGAGACCATGTATGGAGAACGTTGTGATGTGCGAAATAAGATGATGTATGAGACTGCGAGGCGGCACGGAGTGATGCACGTGTGTGCGTGCGGGCAAGATGCGAGTGATAGCGTGCGCGTTGCGCGTGTCCGAGTGCACGAATGTCGTCTGCGACGACTGGAGACTGCAAAGTGCCAACGAGCACCGGAGACAACGATTCCTGCTGTTGATGGGGCTGCAAGAAACTACGGAAGACCACAACTGTAAGGCTCTGCTTCTGCAAGACTAGGCTTCACGACAAAAGACTCGATGAGCTGGCACACGGGGCCAGTACTACGCGTCGAAGCTGCTGGGACTGGGACTCGAACGACTAGAAGGACTGGAAACTAGATGACTGCAAAGCTGCACCGCAGGCCCAGACGTAGGCGAAAACCACTGTCGTCACCACGATGGGCACGGCCTCGGGAGGATGAGCGGAAGCAGCCGCGCTAAGCGGATATGATGATGATTCGAGACCAGGTGCGCTCGCGTGTGTCGCGGCGATGCTACGCTCACCCTAACCCTAATATAGATACGCCGAGTCTACTCTCTCCCTGTCCCCGCCGTCTCCCCGCCGGACCTTACTCCAATGCATGGAAGGACATCAGAAGCTTGTCCGACTATCTTGGCTGGTCTCATACGCTGTTCTTGTAGCTTCCTCTTCTCCAAGGTAATGTACAAGCCAGTCGTCTGGCATAATCGCGTCTCAGAAGCTGAATGGTGGACCCTGTCCTGCATCTACGAATGAGAAACTACCCCAATAACGCCAGATGGAGACCTATTGGTAGTAGGCATCAGTACATGGAGCGAATCGATGTTTCTGGAATCGTCGTGATAGTCTACCCCTCTCAAAGAGACCGTCGGAATAAGTCGGGCAGCCCCATTCAGAATTGCACTTGTCAGAGCCTTGACATCTGTCTAGTGACAACGGACATGTCCCGGAAACCCTTCTCAGCACTTTCAAAATTCATTTCCACGTAAACATGTAGTGGGCACGCATTTGGGGAGCTTACAAGATTAATTCACGTGATCGTGTCTCGGTGGTTTCATGCTTTCGAGTGGCGCGCGCGCTACTGCAAGTTGCGCTTGTTCTACGCTCATCTTCCGCATCGCCACCTTCAAGCGACCACTGGATGCTGCAAGCCTTAAAGGATTATCACTACTATCTCTTCCTTCTTCTTCATGGTCTACCTAGACTCCTCTGTTCATGCGAAGGACAGTCGGGCAGCGCGCGACGTGGGCGCGCTCGCGCCGACTGTGGTAGCCTCAAACAAAGGTCTAGCAGTACAGGCTTCTACTATCAGCAGCAGCACAGCGACATCTATCGGCAACAAATCTACTCCATCCAAGTTACCGTTGCGCCACGTAGACATTTCTTCGTCAGGAGAAGTCGATCTGTTCAAGCGCAGGCCCAAGCGCAGGAGAAGCTGGGAGGGGAGAAACATGAATGTGCGGTATAAACCACTCATATAGAGTAATATCTCACTGTTTGGATAGGCTGTCAAAATCAATGATGTGCTACCGGCGGTGACTTGCCCCTGCTGTCAAAAACTACTCCGAAACGCTTGGATAATGTGCGTCCTTACAATTCGCTGAGCGCACCGTTCATAGCTCTCACACTTTCTAGCGCTCCGTGCGGTCACATGTTG